TAGACAGGGCCAACATCTGACATCATCAGAGGCAGATCCAGAAAGTAAAAACAGTGGTCTCCAACCAGAGAAGTTCACACCACAAAGTCAGGAGATCAAGACAGATCAACTTAAGAATCAGATGCAAAAGAAAAGAGTCTCACAAATAATGCGAAGACAAAGAATGGGAAGAAAAAGAAATACGCCCCACTCAAAGGGAAAGGAGCAATCCTCAGAAAGAGAACTAAATGAAATAGAGGCAAGTAAACTATCAGATATTCAGTTCCAAACAATGGTTCTAAGGAAACTCAATGAACTCAGTGAGCTCAGAAAGAATTACAAAAAACTTCAGGGGAACTACGAGGAACTTACTGCAAACTATATCTGCATGAAAAAGGACATAGAAACTATCAATAAGAGACAAGAGGAAATGAAGAATACCATTTCTGAATTGAAGAACACAGTAGAAGGAATCAAAAGCAGGCTAGATGAAGCTGAAGATCAAATCAGCAAGCTGGAGGATAAGGGAGAAAAAAGCTCCCATAAAGAGCAAGAAAATGAAAAAAGACTCAAAAAGAATGAAGACGCATTTAGGGAAATGCAGGACAACCTGAAACGTAATAATATCTGTATAATAGGGATACCAGAAGGAGAAGAGGTTGAGGAAGGGATAGAGAACGTGTTTGAAAAAGTAATGATGGAAAACTTCCCTAACTGGAGGAGAGAAAAAGTCACACAAGTCCAGGAAGCACAGAGGGTCCCATTCAAGAGGAACCCAATGAGGCCCACTCCAAGACACATCATCATTAAAATGGCAAATATCAAAGACAAGCAGAGAATCCTAAAGCAAGCAAGGGAGAAAGTGGTAGTAACATTTAAGGGAGCTCCAATACCACTAGCAGCTGACTTCTCAACAGAAACACTGCAAGCCAGAAGGGAATGGCAAGAAATATTCCAAGTCATGAAAAGCAAAGGCCTGCAACCAAGACTGCTCTACCCAGTAAGGCTCTCCATTAAAATGGAAGGCAAAATAAGGAGTTTCCCAGACAAAAAAAGGCTAAAAGAATACACCTCCACCAAACCAACACTGCAAAATATGCTAAAGAGACTGCTTTAAGATGAAGAAAAAGTTTCTATGAATACCCAGTTCCTTTCAGAGTTGCCAATACTTGATATTACCAATGTTTTTAATACTCATTAATCTGATTGTGACGATGATGTTATTTTAATTGTTCCTTTACTATTTGTTGAAACTAAACCTGTTTTAGTATATTTCTTGCCTATTTCTATTTTTTTTTAAAAAGCTTTAAATGACTTTTTGGTATTCTTTATCCATTTATTGATTTAAGGTTTGTAGAACTTTTTTCACTAAAAAAAAAACAAAACCATAAACCAAAACCTATTAACTGTGTTTTAGATGTGTTGCAAATAGTTTTCAATTCTATTCCTTGTCCTTTAACTTTTTTATATGTATATTGCTATATAGTTAAATGTTTAATATAGTCATATTGTCAATATTTACTTTATAACTTCTGGGTTTGAATATTTTACTTCAGGTCATGAAAAATATTAGTTCTATTTTCTAAAACTCCTTAGATTCTACATATTGATTTTTAACTCACCTGAATATTTCTTTTATAATGTGTAAAATAGGGCTCTATATTTGTTTTGTTTCCAGTAATAGTGGTCCATGCACCTTATTTGTTGAATAAGCCTTATTTTCCCCATTGATTTGAAATATCAACTTAATCATATATTATATTCTTAGATATATACATTTGTCTCCAGAATGCTCATTATATTTTATTGATCTACTTGATTATTTCTTTGCTGATGTAATATTGGTTTAATTGCTGAAACTTTATAATGGTTTTAAATTTTTTAAATATTTTATAATTAACTTTGACATCTTAAAAAATAAAATCAATCTGTATTTAAGAAAGAAAGAGAGAGAGAGAGATATGGAACTCCTACCTTTTGTAACAACATGGATAGAACTGGAGAATATTAAGCTAAGTGAAATAACCCAGTTGATGAAGACAAATACCATTTGATCTCACCTATAAGTGGACTCTATTCAACAAAATAAATTAATGAGCAAAATAAACCACAGGCACAGAAACATGGAGCAGACTGAAAGTGACCAGAGGGGAGGGGGAAAGAGGACAATGGTGGAAAGAAGTGGAAGGGACTAGACAAAGAGCACATATGAATGACCCATGGACATGGACAACGGAGTGGGAATTGACTGTGGGAGTGAGGGTTGGGGGTGGGATGGGTGGAGGCGGGTACAGGGGTAAAAATTGAGACAACTGTAATAAAATAAACATGATTTATAAATTTAAAAAAGAAAATAAAAATAGAAAAAATATCACAAGGGACTATAATGAACAATTATATACCAACAAAGTGAACAACCTAGAAGAAATAGATAAGTTCCTAGAAACATATGACCTACCAAGACTGAATCAGGAAGAAATAGAAATCCTGAACAACCAATAACTAATATGGAGATTGAAACAGTAATTTTAAAAATCCCAGAAATAAAAGCCTAACACCAGATGGCTTCACAGCTGAATTCCATCAAACATTTAAAGAAAAATTAATGCCAATCTAAAAATAGAATAAAGAATACTTCCAAACACATTTTATGGAGACAGCATAACCCTGATACCAAAGTCAGACAAAGGCTATAAGAAAATAACATAGATGAAAAATACCATTAATAAGAGTTAGTAAACCAAATTCAACAGTATATGGAAAGGAACATACACCAGTGGGATTTATTCCTGGGATGCAAGAATGGTTCAACATAAGCAAATCAATAAATATGATACATGATATTAACATAATGAAAGCTAAAAATCACATGATCATCTCAATAGATGCAGGAAATCATTTGACAAAATTCAACACCTAGATTAGGTATTAAAGAAACTTACCTTAAATGCCAAATATGAAAAGCCCACAGCTAACATTATACTCAAATTGTAAAAAACTGAAAGCTTTTCCTTTAACATCTGGAACTAGACAAGGATACCACTTTGACTCAACATAGGACTGGAAGTCCTAGCCAGAGCAAGCAGGTAAGAAAAAGAAATAAAAGGCATCCAAATCAGGAAGAAAGAAAGAAATAAAATTATCACTGTTTGCAGACAACATGGTTGTATATATACAAAACCCTAAAGATACTTCCAAAAACTTAACAAATGAATTTAATAAAGTTGCAGGATACAAAATCAATATACAAAAATCTGTTGCATTTTTTATACACCAGCAAGCAACAAACTCTCTGAAAACTGAAATTAAGAATATAATCTCATTTATAATAACATCAAAAATAATAATGTATTTAGGAATAAATTTAACCAAAGAGATGAAAAACTTGTGCACTGAAAACTATGAACACTGAAGAAAGAAATTAAAGCAGACATTAAAAAAATAGACATCCCATGTTCATGAATTGAAAGACTTAATATTGTTAAAATGTTCATATTATCCAAAGCGATCTACAGATTCCATAAAATTCTTATCAAAATACTAATGGCATTTTATACAGAAATAGAAAAAACAATTCTAAAATTCATATGGAAACACAGAACACCCCTAACAACCAGAGCATTTTTTTGGCATAAAAATGCTGGAGTTGCCATATGTTCTGTTTCAAAATATATTACAAAGCTATAGTAACCGAGAATACGGTTCTGGCAAAAAAGTAAACATAGAGGCCAATGGAACAGAACAGGGAGCCCAGCAATAAACCCATGCAAATAGTTCATTTATTTCTGACATTGGTGCCAAGAATTCACAATGGACAGGACAGTGTCATCAGTAAGTGGTGTAGGGAAAACCAGATACTCACAGGCAAAAGAATGAAATTGGAAACTTATTTTACACTCTACACAAAAATCAACTCAACATGAGGTAAAGACTAAAATAAAGACTATAAAATTCCTAAATAAAACATAGGAGGAAACTTCCTGACATTGTTCTTGGCAATGATATCTTGGATGTGGCACCAAAAGCACAGGCAACAAGCAAAGACAGACAAGTGGGACTACATCAAACTAAAACGCTTCTGCACAGCTAGGAAACAGTTAACAAAAGGAGAATGAGCCTGTGGAATGGAATAAAATATTTACAAACCATATATGTAGCAAAGGGTTAATATCCAAAGTATTTAGGGAACTCCTACAACTCAAGAGCCAATTTAAAAATGGACATACAACTGAACAGACATTTCTCCAAAGACAGCATGCAAATGGCCAACAGGTACATGATAAAGTGTTCATTGTCAGTAATTGTTAGGGAAACACAAATCAAAACCACAATGAGTTATCACTTCACAACAGTTGGAACGGCTGTTATTTACAAAAAAAAAAAAAAAGCTAAGTGTTGTTGAGGATGTGGAGAACAGGACACCTTGTACACTGTTGGTGGGAATGTGAAATCATGTAGCCACTATGGAGACAGTATGGAGGTTCCTCAAAAAATTAAAATTAGAACTATTATATGATCCCATAATCTCTCATCTGGATGTATATCCAAAAGAATTGGAAACAGGATCTCGAAGAGATATTTGCATACACACGTTCACTGTAGAACTATTCACAAAAACCAAACCATGGAAACAACCTAAATTCCCATCAATGGATTTTTTAAAATGTGGCACATACCTACAATAGGATATTATTCATTCATTAAAAAAGGAAATCCCGCTGTTTGCTGCACAATAGATAAATCTTGAGGACATTTTGCTAAATGTGCAAATCTACACAATCTGAACAATTGTAAATACTAAGTGATGTCTGGCTCTGTTGAGTAAAATATCTGTGTCCAATTCTTTCAGCAACAGCATGGTCTCTCTCAGTGTTAACTCGGACAACGTGGACAGCCATTGGGAACCAGGGGAGTTGGATTAAACGACCAGCGTCCCACCCTTCATTCATTTTACAGACACCATCTAGTGTATATCAGGTCCTGCCTTCCCTGCGTCCCACGCACAGCTCCGCCCTCCTCACCTCCATGGTGAGGGCGTCTCCAGCATCCTTTTTTCCATTCACGTACGCGGCTTTCCGAAGCTCCTTTAAGCCCTTCTCGGGTTTGTTGGTGATAATCAGCCACCGAACAGACTCCGCCAGCCACCTGATCAAAGAAGAAGACAGAGGGGCGATGAAGTCGATTTGTCCATTTTCACATATCCTTTGTCCTCAAATGCCTGTCCTCTGCCCTCTCGTACCTACCTCCTGTTTTGTTACCCCAGGAAATATGGACTTAAGTTCTCCTGTACCGTAACTAGGGAAGTGCAGGGATAACCTTCACAGCCGGGAATACAGAGGAGGAGTCCTGTTGGCTCCCACCCCACACATTCAAGGGACTATTGCCAGTTTGAGCAAATAGAAACAGTGTGCCTTATACAGGTAAGTCTGAATTCCATTAAGTTGTGAATATGAGTTATTTTTTAATGTAACTATGTCTCTTGCAACATTTTGGACATACACTAAGAAGCATTTGTTATTTATTTGAAATTTTACATTAATTAGACACCCTTTATTTTATCAGGTTAGTAAATTAAAATACAGACCTCTCAGAGAAATAGAAATTTTATATAAACAATGAATAACTTTTAGAGTAACTGCACACCATGCAATAGTTGGGATGTTACACCCAAAAAACGTTGTTTATTTGGAATTCAAATTTAACTGAGTGTCCTTAATATTATCTGGCAGCCCTACCAGTTCACTCCCTGAATCATACTTAAGGCATGTGTTAGTAGGGCACATGCTCAAGTGTTGACTAAGCACCTAACAGATTTCTGTGTCCTTGTTCCATGTACCTGCGTCCCAGGATCCTTAAGACAAAGAAAGAAAGACAGCTTATACCTTGAGAAAAGAAACAAGATAAATAATGGTATAGAATACACCAGCTGAAGGATGTGCCAGTCTCGAATGGCAAAAGCCAGTCCTCCCAGAATCATCTGTCCCACGCAAGCCACGCTGATGATCATTGTCATCCCCATGGCTTGGAATCGCGGCACTAGCCATTCCATAACTGAAAGAAAACACAAACAAGATTTTGACCTCTAACAAAGTTGGAGTTTCTAGGTCAAAATTAGGACTTGGGAAATGTCAAAGATCCAAAGTGTTTACTTACTAAGCACCGAACTGTTTGTCAGGACACTTAGAGCAGAAAAGCCAGCCAAGAAGCGCAGTGAGCAGTACAGGGGGAGTGTGGGAGCGAAGGCCGCACAGGCCTCGGTGGCGGCCACCAGGAGTAGGCTCCACCTGATAACTAACCTCCTCCCGAACCTGAGAAACAGGGACAGGTTAGACATGGGGATAATGAGCTGTTATAGAAAGTATCCGAAAGAAGTCATATCTTAAAATTTTGCCAATGTTTGAATAAGTGAAACTTGGCATTTGAAACCGTAAAGAAGCAACACTACACCTCAGAAGCAGCCCTCCTGTTTGTATATAGATATTGAATATAACAAAACTTTTTTCTCCAATATGTTACCAGCAGATCTTTGAGATCAGCTGTAACCGTGTAAGGCAACCTGTAATACAGTAGTCCCTTTTATCCATGGTTTTGTTTTCCATGGTTTCAGTTATCCACGGTCAACCACAGTTCAAAAATATTACACGGTTAGCCACAGCAATCTTGAGAAAGAAGAAAAAAGCTAGAGGAATCATGCTACCTGATATCAAACTATACTACAAGCCTATAGTAATCAAAACAGCATGGTACTGGCATTAAAACAGACAGAAAGGTCAATGGAACAGAATAGAGAGCACAGAAGTAAACCACGCCTCTATGGACAATTAATATTTGACAAAGGAAGCAAGAACTTACAATGGGATAAAGACAGACTATTTAATAAATGATGTCTTGAAAATCTGGACATATACATGCAGGACTCTTGGACATGGATGGCAGGGTAGTAATTGCTGGGGGGAGGGGGACATAAGGGAATTAAATGGTAATGTAAAAAATATAATAAAAATTATGTATTTCTTTAAAAATGAAACTAGACCACCTTCTTACACTGTACACAATAAACTCAAAATGGATTAAAGACTTAAATGTAAGACTCAAAACCATACACCTCCTAGAAGGAAACGTAGGCAGTAAAATCTTGGACATTCTTCATAGTAACATTTTTTCTGATATAGCTCCTCAAGCAAGGGAAACAAAGGAAAAAATAAGGGAAACATGATACCACCAAGTTTGCTCTTCCTTCTTAAGATTGCTCAGGCTATTTGGGGTCTTTTGTGGTTTCATGTAAATTTTTGGAAAATTTGTTCTAGTTCTGAGAAATACGCCATGGTATCTTGATAGGAATCGCATTGAATCTAGAGATTGCTTTGCGTAATAGGGACATTTTAATGATGTTAATTCTTCCTATCCATGAAACAGTATAGGTTTCCACTTATTTGTATCTTCTTTCTTTTTTCAATTTCTTATAATTTTCTGAGTACAGGTCTTTTACTTCTTTGGTTATGGTAAATTTATTCCCAGGTACCTTATTTTTTTTGTTGTTGTTGCTGCAATTGTAAATGGGATTGGTTTATTAGTTCCCTTTTCTGGTAGATCATTATTGGTGCATAACAATGCCACTAATTGCTGAATGTTAATTTTGTATGCTCCTACTTTACTGAATTCATTTATCAGTTCTAGTAGTTTTTTGGTGGAGCCTTTAGGGTTTTCTATATACACAGTATTGTGTCAGGCAGTTCTACTTCCTTTCCAGTGCAGATGCCTTTTATTTCTTGTTCCTAACCTTAAGGAAAATGCTCCTAGTTTTTGCCCATTGACTATGATGTTGGCCGTGGGTTTGTCATATATGGCCTTTATTATGTTGAAGTATGTTCCCACTATTCCCATTTTGCTGAGAGTTTTTATCATAAATGGGTGCTCGATTTTATCAAATGCTTTTTCTGCATCTTTTGATATGATCATATGATTTTTATCCTTCATTGTGTTTATGTGGTTTATCCCATTAATTGATTTGGAGATATTGTACCAAACTTGCATCCCCAGAATAAGTCCTGCCTCATCATTCTGTATGATCTTTTTATTGCACTGTTGGGTTTGATTTGCTAATATTTTGCACCTATGTTCATCAGGGATATTGGCCAATAGTTTTCTTTCTTTGTAGTACCTTTATCTGGTTTTGGGATTAGGATAATGCTGGCCTCATAAAATGAGTTTGGGAGTCTTCCCTCCTCTTGAATGTTTTGGAATAGTCTGAGAGGGAGAAGTGTTAGTTTTTTGAATGTTTGGTAAAATATGCCTATGAAGCCCTCAGTCCAAGAGTATCATTTGCTGGGAGTTTTTTGATTACTACTTTGATTTCATTAGTTGTAATCTGTGTATTCAAATTTTCTGATTCTTCCTGATTCAGTTTTGGAAGACTGTATATTTCTAGGAATTTATCGATTTTATCCATATTGTCCAATTTTTTTGGCATATGTAGTTGTTCATAATATTTTCTTACAATCCTTTGTATTTATGTGATGTCAGTTGTTACTTCTCCTGTCTCATTTCTGATTTTATTTATTTGGGTCCTTTTTCTTTTTTCTGGTTAAAGGTTTGGCCATCTTGTTTATCTTTTCAAATAACCAGCTCTTTCTTTCATTGATCTTTCATATTGTTTTTTAGTCTCTATGATATTTATTTTCTCTCTAATCTTTATCATTTCCTTCCTTCTACTTGCTTTGGGCTTTGTTTGTTGTTCTTTTTATAGTTTCTTTAGGTGTAAGTTTAAATTGTTTGAGACTTTTCTTGCTTCTTTTTAAAAAATTAAATTTATTGGGGTAACATTGGTTAAAATTTCCCTCTTATGACTGCTTTCCCTGTGTCCCACAGATTTGGGGTTGTTGTGGGTTCGTTTTCATTTGTCGACAGCTAACTTTTGATTTCTTCCTTGATCAGATTATTGACCCATTCATTGTTTAGTAACATGTAATTTAGCCTTCATGTGTTTCTGTGTTTTTCAGCTTTTCTTCTTGTAATTGATTTCTAATTTCATGCCATTGTGGTCAGAGGAGATGCTTGATATGATTTCAGTCTTGAATTTATTAAGACGTGCCCTAAAATACGGCCTATCCTAGAAAATCTTCCATGTGCACTTGAAAAGAATGTGTATTCTGCTGCTTTGGGATGAGATGCTCTGAAAATATCAATTAAATCCATCTAACTTAGTGTGTCATTTAAGGCCACCATTTCCCTGTTGCTTTTTTGTCTGGAAGATCTATCCATTGATGTAATGGGGTGTTAAAATCCTGTATTATGACTGTATTTCTATAGATCTCTCCCTTTATGTCCATCAAGATTTGCTTTATATAGTTAGGTGCTCCTGTGTTGGGTGCATAGATGTGTACTAGAGTTATATCCTCCTGTTGGATGTTCCCTTTATCATTACGTAATGTTTTTATTTCTCTCTTGTTATGGCTTTTGATTTGAAGTCTATTGTGTCATATATAAGTATTGTTACACCAGTTTTTATTTCCATTTGCATGAAATATCTTTTTCTGTTCCTTTACTTTCAGTCTGTGTTTACCTCTTGTTCAGAGATGGGTCTGTTGTAGACAGCATATGTACAAGAGGTGGGTCTTGTTTTCTTATCCATTCGTACCCTATGTCTTTTTGATTGGAGCATTTAATCCATTTACATTTAAAGTAATTATTGATAGGTACTTATTTATTGCCATTTTGTTCTTCTTTTGCTTTTAAAAAGATTTAATTTATTTTTTAGAGAGAGGGGCAGGGAGGGAGAAAGAGAAGGAGAGAAACATCAGTTTTTCTCATGCACACTCAACAGGGGGCCTGGTCTACATCCCAGACATGTGCCCTGACCAGGAATTGAACCAGCAGCCTTTCAGTTTGCAGGCTGGCACTCAACCCACTGAGCCACATCAGCCAAGGCTGCCACTTTATTCTTTATACCTATGTTTCTCTCTCTCTTTTTTTCTTCCTTCTTCTTCAAGAAGACCTTTTAACATTTCTTGTAATACTGGTTTGGTGATAATGAATTCCTTTAGTTATTTTGTTGTTTTCTTTGGGAAACTCTTTATTTCACCTTCAATTTTAAATGATATCCTTGCTGGATAGGGTAGTCTTGGTTGTAGGTCCTTGCTTTTCATCACTGAATCTTTCATGCCAGTGTCTTCTGGCTTGAAGCATTTCTGTTGAGAAATCAGCTGACAGCCTTATGGTAGCTCCCTTGTAGTTAGCTGCTTTTCTCTTGCTGCTCTTAAGATTCTCTCTTTACCTTTAGCCTTCACCATTTTAATTACAGTGAGTCTTCGTGTGGGCCTCTTTCGTGACTCTGAACACTTAGTTACATTTACTATCATACTTTCAGAATTCATGGTTTTCAGATGAAATAACAGAAGACATTATGCTGGTAAATGGTAAGGGGCACCTTGACTCCCTGTATCTTTCAGAGAAGATGTGCTTGGGTGGTGGCAATAGTTAGCTCTCTAATTCAGAAGTAGTGCTGTTAGGCACAGGATCCTGCAGTTCTAACCCCACAGATGGTGACAGCAGTTGTCATTAGATTAATTACCTTACATGGTTGAAAAACTTACCTTTAAAAGCTGCTTCCCCCCCGCAAAAGAAAACAAATGTTAAGGTAACTGGAACAATTTTTTTATCCACCACCAACATAAATTGCTATCTGTACAAAACAGGTTTAATAGGAATGTCTACTCATCACCGTTGAGAAACAATGACATGATGTCTATGCTGGGGAAATCAAGACCCAGGAGGGTCTGAACATGGCCTGTAACATTGTTTTACACCTTTGTGTCTTCAAACAGGCTGAGCCTCATGCTGTGATACCTCTTCCTCTCTGTTCCCAAAGGTAACTACTCTTTCTCACCTTTCTCAACCCCATGTTGTGGCATCTCGTCTCTAAGCCCTGTCCTGAAATAGCACCATGTCCAGAGGAGGTGCTGTTTCTGTGCCCTGTACATAGCACTTGCCACACTGACTGTCATTCTTTGAATGTGTTCCTAGATCCCCAGAACAGTATAATTCACAATAGATGTTTCTTAATGGGAAAATGATTCATGAGTTCAAGAAAATACCCCAGAGTAAAGAGAGCTGTGATCCAGAGACACTCACCTGTCTGACAAATGGCCCAAAATGATGCCTCCCACTACCGTTCCAGCCATGAATGAGAACTTGGCCACTGAGTTCAGTGACTGAGAGTCACACACCAGGTCCCACTGGAAGGGAAGGAAAGCGTCACAGCCCAGCTTCGCAGCAGCTCACAGCCCCTCGGCAGAGGCCTGACTGAAAGAGCTTTGACGGCTTACCTGTTTCTTTAGATCAGGACTCCTCTTCCCCTCCAGCTTTTATATATATATATTTGCATCAGCTGACCTTTATTTTTCATATCTCAGCTGAAACCTAACTTCCTCTAAGAAGCTTCCTCTAAACCTATTGGCTATGTGAATGCGTGTTTTATTTCATACTTAGTGGTTCCCAATCTTAGCTACAGAGTACAGTCATTTGAGAAGCCTTAAAACTTACTGATGCCAGAATTTCACAGCACATTTTCTCATAGGGCTGCTCCGGGGTGCAGTCTGTGCTTGGGCAAGTGCATGGGCTTCCCAGGTGTTTCTAATTTCAAGCGAGGCTGAGCATTACTGACCTCGCATAACATGTTAAACACATTAAGTCAATTAATTGCTTCACCTTTGGTCTTCCTAAAAAAAGCTATATAACAGCAAGGCCATGTCTGTTTTTGAGTTTGTTCGACTCAAATATGTAGGTGTCTGACATTTAATGAAGTAATTAGTGGTTGCTGAAGGAATGAAGAATGCACTTACATGATGCCTAGGGTTCATCACTTGCGTTATCCTTAAACTCCAAGCCGTGAACTTGCAACAGGTAAAGAGGCCTCTTACCTCCGTCACGATGGTGGAGGAGAAGGAGGTGCGGTCATACACCCAGCCATCCACACAGGGCTCCGTGGCTGGCTCACTCGCGTTGGACAAGGTCCCATTCAGGTGAAGGAGCTGCCACTGGGGGCGGAGGAAGCGGCGACACTTCTCTGGCCTCAGGTCCGAGTCCAGGGGGATGGAGACTCGCAGGAGGGCGTCTTGCCCGAGGATCGCAGTGCCATTGGCAAGGGCGGTGTCGTTGTCGAGGATGGAGACCCAGCAGCGGTGAGCGGGGACGACTGCCGTGAAGTTCTCCAGGAGCATGTGCGTGTACACCACCAGGCAGAAGGCGGAGAGGAGAGCCATCTGAAGGACCTGGAACCGGCCCAGGCCCCCGACTTCCTCCAGGAGTCTATGAAAGGCCATGGAGGATGAGCGGGGAAGCCCCGAAGACTGCAGTTAGAAAAGTTCAAAGAGAAGAACGGCTTCCTTTCGCCAGGTCACATTAAGCGAGTGTTAATCCTGACCACACTTCCTCCTCAATAGGCTCCGCCTCCCACCCCCAACCTCCCGCAGCTGGGCCTTGGCAACTGTCGCTCCTCGTTATTTCAGGATCAGGTAGGTAGCTGGTTTATTGAAAGTTAAGGAGCTCTACTTAGCTGGGACATTACCAGCAGCGGACAACAAGCACTGTTCACAGGTCTTCCAGATGAAAGTTGGTTTCATCGGTGGTGCCCCAAAGTAGCACTGGACTCTGATCCTCACACCTGTAAGTAAATAAAAGCTACACATGGTTTGCAGACCTTGTCACATGACATCGGTGAGACTCAACAGTGAGATGGTTTTGATTTTTTTCGTTGAAAAATACTGAAAGTACATGCCTTGCTTGACTTTTGATTAAAAGGGTCAATGAAAACAATCCTGAGTTAAATTAAAGCCAGCGAAATATGGTGCAATCTTTCCCTTTGGATAAGGGTCATTCTGCTCCAAGTCAAATTGAAGCGCGAATTCACCTTGAAAATAAGCTTCTCGGCATGGGGGTCGGCGGGGGGAGGGGGGTAGTGATGGAGGGTCGAGGGCTCAGCCAGTGGTCAGCTCCTAAAGAGGTTGGTCTTTACAGGCTTATTGATTCATGCAGGTGACACTTGTAAGAACGTTTTTTGTCCTAGGAATACAGTGGTGTGTGAGACAAGGTCTTGTTTAAGGGTCTTATACGACAGTGAGTAAGGGAGAGGCCAGTCGACAGCTACACTCCGATGTAAAACATACGGTAAGTGCACATGGACTATGGAAGAATTAAAGAGAAAATGTCGGGGGGTGGGGAATGTCACCTTTGTCACTACTGAATCTTCCATTACAAATTCTTTTCTTGAAGCCTGGTTGATGCAATTCACTCTTTGAATGCACGGCTCTAAGGGTGTTAGCCATTCCGACTTGTTCCTCTGTCAGCCCTCTCTCACTCCAGGACGTTTTCATCACCACGACAAGAACCCCCTTGCTATTGACATTCGACCCCAATTGCCTCCATCCAGACTCTGGCCGCCTGTATGCATTTGCCTTCTCTTGAAAGAAATAAGTCTCCTGAGGACCTTTCCAATGCGTTTGACTTGGTGTTTGCCCTTCATTTCGGGAAGTGCTCAGCCATCATCCCTTGTGCTGCTGTCACTCCTCCTTCCTGTCCCTCTTGTCCTCTGGTAGTCCCGTTGCACGCAGACACCACACCCTTGGCGGTTGTTATTGAACAGTTATTGAATACCCTGTTGCACTTTTTCATTCTATTTTCTCTTTGCATTTCCATTGGGAAGGTTTCTATTGACCAATCTTCAGGCATATTGATTCTCTTACTAGCCATGTCTACTTCTGAGCTGATCAAAGGCATTTCTGTCTGTTACAGAGGTTTTGATTTCAAGCATTTCCATTTGGTTCTTTCTTAGAGTTTCTGCTTCTTTGCTTATATTACTTCCTGTTCTAGCATGTTGTCCACTTTCCCCATTAGGGCCCTTTGCATATCAATCATAGCTACTTTAAATTCTTGGTCTGATAATTCCAAACTCCATGACGTATCTCAGTCTGTCTCTGATGTTTGCTTTGTCTCTGGTGCATTGGGTAATCAAACCGAGGAATCCAGTTTTTGTGTGCAGGTACATAATTTAAAGACGTTTAATAGATGATTGAGAAAATAACCTCAGCACATTAGAAATGGATCTATAACATCATGAAGTTGGTAGAACTTCAAATGCTTGTTTTTAAGAAATCTTCCAGAATACATGCCATTCTGTGCAAAGAAAGAGGTTTAATGTTTATCTGGCTAGAAAGGCAGTGTTGAATGATTTCTGTATCTATCTGTGTGTGTCAGAGGATTCAAATTCCTCTCGTGTACTTTTTACTGATCCTCTATTGTCTTTGGATCTTCTTATATGAAAACTCTAGAAACTCCTTATGTGGAATCTGTGTCTTGCAGCTTTCTCCCCTGCAATTTACTGTTATTGTCCCAGAGCCCTGGTGATGGGGTGGTTGGGTCCTGGGGAGGGAAAACCTTCTAAAATATTATGAATAACTTTCATTTTTGTCTTTGTGGTGGGCCAGAATCCCTGCACTGCCATCTTCAGATAAGGTGTATTCTTTATCATACACGCTCTCTCTCTCTCCTCTTCTGTGAGACAGAAAAGCTAGAGGAGGCTGCCTTTTCTCCATGTCAGAAAAGACGTCAGTAACGTAGTTACTCCTGAGGCCAGCCCTTCCTTACAGAGAACAGAGCCAAGGGCACATATTCTAGCTCTGGATATATCTCAAAATGTTTAACTTTGCTTCTTTGCCTGTTGAAGGAAGAATGCTTTTTTTCTCTGATCTCCAGTGAGAACTTGGTGGGGTTCCACAAATGTGGGGGAACCTCACTCTCCCAGAGCTTTTAAACCTCAAACTAGACTACACCGAGCCTCTGAGGATTCTTCAATCACAGTCGGAGTGCTCCTACCTGTACCGGCTCCAGCAGTGAGCTTCTTGTCCCCCTGAGCTGGGGCAGCGGGTGCCTGTGACCTCAGTTCTTTGATGGATTTGAGAATAGTTGTTTTTCAGTTTATGTAGTTTTTTTTTCTTTGTGTGAGGACACAAACGACATCTTCCATGCTCTTTACAAGTCAGAGCAGAAACCTCAAGTCTTTTCCTCTAATTTGGCTAGACCGAGTTCCAGGAGTATGGTGAAGAACTAACACATGTGAAATTCAGAGTTGATAACTGTTTTGTATTTTGGTCCATAAAACACATAGTAGATTTGGTCATTTTGTAGATTATTTAGAGTAAATGCAATTATTGTTCTATGGCACTGAAATAAATCTGACCGTAGTTTCACTACTTAGACCAAATGTTTCTACCAAAAAACTCTAATTTTATTTATAAATGAGCTTCTTACAGATGGTTAACATCTGTACTGTATGTACTTGAGGAGCCAAATACATAGTTCATGAATTCGTAATGTTAGATTATTCAGTGTTGTCTCTAAAAATACCTCATACAATACAAACTGTCAAATGCTTGTAATTACACTTCTGTGGAAGTAGTGTTACATACAGAAATAATCCAGTTTTTGTGTGCAGGTACATAATTTAAAGACATTTAATAGATGACTGAGAAAATAATCTCAGCACATTAGAAATGGATATATAACATCAGTTGGTAGAACTTCAAATGCTTGTTTTTAAGAAATCTTTCAGAATACATGCCATTCTGTGCAAAGAAAACTAGAAAAATTCTGAATGGTCATAATGGATCCTACCGCGCATAACTTAGAATGAAACTGTCGGGAGCCGACACACAGCCGACCCTTGACACAGTCGGGACGAATGAGGCTCGACTGCACAGCAGAAGCAGCCACGGCGGGTCTCCCGGTCGTCCCTCCTCGCGTGCCTGCTATTATTGGTAGTTGGTGGTGGGGTTTTACGGTGCTTGTACCCTACCACTAAAAACCTGCACAATTCCTCTGATACTGCTCAGAAAGAATTATTAATTGCAGAGCCAAAGCCCATGACACACGTCGCTGCTTCTCACTTCCCCTGTCAGGGAAGTTAATATTAGACTTTGGGTAGACCAGCTGCCAGAAAAGTGGAGAAAAGTTCTATCGCGAATTCCCCCTGGTGGGACGCCACCTCGCAGAATTATGGAGACCACTACCCTCCGATACCCTGGGCCGGAGCATGGATGAATGGAGACGTGTGGGTGAAAAGGCCAGGGAAGTTAGTTAGGTGTTATGATTTAAGTACTTGGGCATCTGTGGCTTAAAGCTAAACCTCCACAGGACAGCCAGGAGGGCGGCTGAACCCTGTATGACCTTGGGTGGCTCTAAAGACTGCACATGACAGAGGGGTGCACTTAAACAGTACAGACAAGAGGTCAGCTCTCTCTCCAGACAGCTAGCCCCTGAGGCTTAAAAATAACCTTTATAGAATAACTACTCTGTCTATTGAATTTTTCTTAACCTTTGTTAATTTTTGAGAATTACTGATAGACATTTTGCAGGAGGTAATAGTCTGTACTTCTCGCTCTGTTTGAATGTCTGAATGGCCCTCCTGGTCAGAATAACCTTTGCTTAGTACTATTATACCTGTAAACAATGGTACTTTTCCAATCAAAGTAACTTTTACAAAATGATTGTTTTTAAGTTTCCCTGTACTATGCTGTGCTATTTTTTGTAATAACCTTTGATATGATCATGCCATGTATCACTTCCTTGTTTTATCCCTATAAAAATAAAGTTTCTGAGCTTAAAGGCTGTCCGTCCAGACTCCCAAGTCCGGCTGTCCTCCCGCACCTCACCTGCTGCCTCCTTCTGTTTCGTCGCTGAGCCGTCTCTCCTTTCGGGACCCTGAGACCCGCCGAGGCTGGACCCCGGCATGAAATTATGTTGTTTATTCATAGTTTTTTCCTGCTTTTTTATTCCTTTGGCAACATTAATTTGTGGACTAAAGATTATATTCTGTCCAGCTGCATTTATGGGACAAGATGTCATTGTTAACGTGGCCCCAATTTTCCTTAAAGGTAACAGCACTCCACTTTTAGCAACCATTATATTTTTGAAAGGGTGAGAATTTGTTGAACAAAATGTTTTAGTTATAATTTTTTTCTTCCTTGCTTACCGATGACCAGTTATAATATTTACAAAGACTTCGGTCTCCATGTGGGATGATTTTTTTATCTCTGCTACCTAGACCTTAGACAAAGGTTTTTCCCTCCACCTCATTTCTGATCTGATTGGAAGAAGTGGAAACTTTTAGAAAAGTCCTTCCTGCATTTTCTATTGGATTCTACTCTTTGAGCGAGTGTAAAGGTAAAGCATAAGGCAACATAATTTCTCATCTGGGGTATGATTAAGGGCCCGGGAGAGACAGTGATGTGAGGCGTAGTGCCTGCTAACACCCCATAAAAGGAGGGGGAGGAGCGTCCGGGAGGATAACTGGCGGTGGAAGGAGACTGGACCGGGCGGTGAGCACACAATGCAGTATACAGATGTGGTGGTGTACAATTGTGCACACCCAAAATCTGTATGATTTTGTTAACCAGTGTCACCCCAATAAATGTAATAAAAAGAAAAAACCTATAAAAGGTGAAGCATTCTAAGTCACCTGTGATAAGACTGTAACAGCCGAACTAGAAGGGGTCATGTTGGTCCACCGTGATTGCATCACCCTGACTGGACATTTAACGGTCAGAGGACAACCTGGTCATTACTGGTAGACAGGCAAGTTTACCTAAAGAGCTGTCCCTAAATTCAAATGCTGAAAATATATTTTGTAAAGGAGATTAAGTTCAGAGAAATACGGACCTAAGGTGTTCTGCCTCAACACGGATTGTAGACA